GAGAGAGAGAGAGAGAGAGAGAGAGAGAGAGAGAGAGAGAGAGAGAGAGAGAGAGAGAGAGAGAGAGAGAGAGAGAGAGAGAGAGAGAGAGAGAGAGAGAGAGAGAGAGAGAGAGAGAGGAGAGAGGAAGAGAGAGAGAGAGAGAATGTGTGTGTACTAGACAGATAAAGAGCAAAAGGGACTAGGAAGAGAGGAGGAAGCCAAGTGAGGGATAATAGGGGTGGGAGAGAGTGAGAGAAAGCAAGTGGGAGAAAGACAGTGCGAAAGGTAGGGAGAGACAGCGGGTGGCTCGATCGATCCAGAAACACCGTGTGTAAACTACCAAGCATAATCAAATTCCTTTTAGCTTCAATCCTCGCATACCAGTTCAAAGTGGCACTGTTTTCATTCAGACCGACTGAATCGAGCAAAAACGTATTTTCTTACATTAAAGGAAATGACTTTAGCAGCGAAGTGGCCTTCAAATTGCGCGCGCTAATTAGCAATCTCGTTAATTGCGGTTATTTTACTATTAATTTTTGATTTTCAGAATACGCACGACTTTTATCTGGTGTATAAAAATATCTGTTTCCCGTTTATTTGACGATAAGCTTTCGAATATCGTTTATAGAGATTTGATCGTTATCAATTGGGATTATGAAATTCTAAATTGAATTTTTGCAAAGTTTCGATATTGTTACAATATAAGCAATAAACGTATCTGAAGATGTTTATTCGATAGAAATGAAATTTTTTTTTGGAAATCAGATATTTTTAAGGAAAAATTATATAAAAGTCAATAAAAGTCGTAAAAAGTTATCGAAAAACAGATGAAAATACTCGATCAATTAGCCTAGTTTCATATTGCATTGTTCATGTCGATCTGTATATGATTCAATGAAATATAGATCGGAACTTTTGGGTCACCCTATATTTCCTGAAAGCGCGCCATTGCCCCATCTACTACCGCGTGCTCCAGGGTTTAATCTAACAATGATTTATGCTTCGCAGTGGCTCTCATACTTATTGATTTAAACCTGTCACAAGCGCTAAAATTAATCCTGTTCGTATTTCCCTCTCCGACAAGTATTACGTATTTTTCCCCCTCCTCTCTTTATTGATATTTTCTCTCATACGTTTTTTCCTTTATTTTTTTATCTACCACGTACACCAGGAATTCACATTTGTCTATCTTTTGTCGATGTAAATCTTCCCTAACCATAAAACTCGAATGACGTCCCTTTGTTGAATTCTCGGTAGCCGGTTCAAAGCGAAAGAAAAACGAAGAAACAATTCGAGCCGGGCAGAGGTGGAAAGAATTTGATTTGGAAGCACGCTCGAAATCTAAACTTTTCACAGTGAGATTCGTGGTCGGATAACAACGTGACTTCCAAAGTAATGGCCTCCCAGTGCGGTTTACAAGCAAAGATTGAGCGTCACTAAAACCAACACGCTACATATTCCACTCTACGATTGTATTCCTCCCCACCTTCGCGCTCTTTCTCCCTACCATTCTCGTTCATGAATGTATTATGTACGCTCGGCGAATATGTCAACTGCAGCATTGCATATTTATACGGTGGCTCCCGGATTTTTTCTTCCCGTGTATAATATTTCGTCTTTAACATTGTTTCACAATTATCGACTCGATCGAGTCAACACACAATTTCACAATTTCGTTTCATCTTCATCATTTCGAACGATCGATTTTATCGATATACGTGATAATCGCACGAGTTTTGCTTCTTGATGACACACGCCATGTTTGGACACACGACTACTGTTCGGGATTAGTCGGAATCATTCGGGGCCGATCGTTTCCAATGGGTGGGGATGGCCAATGACCATATAAATGGACAAATTCGTGGTCATTTATGCGTATATATTACTGTACTTCCTTCATCTGATGGCTGGTTTGCTATCGTCCGAGGAATATATATTCCTGACGTCTATTTTAATTCAACTTACAAAAGACTACTTAAGAAGTTGAGTGAAAGACAAGAGATAAAGGAGGTGGCGGGCAGAAGATGAGATTACCCAGATAGATAGAAAGTTTCGCAGCTACGATAATAATATCGCTAGCATGCTTGGATGCTATACAAGTCGTTTATTACGTTTAATGTAATAAATTTCGCCGGTAAATGGACGCAGGCATGAGTCGCATTACACGGAAAAGTATTAAGGGCCCTGTTCGTGTCGTACCGATATCGTTATTAAAACGATGCGCGCGTTTCGATGTGCCCTCGAAATAAACAAATCGAACAACATACATTATTGATCGCGCGCCCGGTTAAAATTAATACGCGCGGTAAAACAATTTCGAGAGTTATTTATTATTTTTTGCCGGTCAAATTAATCAAAACGGGTGGACAATTTCTGCCCCGGCACGGGATGACTTTTGCTGTAAAATTTAATTGAATCCAGAGTTACAAATAATTTATGAATAGTAATGCGAAATTTATGTCGAACCTCGGTGCAATAATCGGACGATGGAGCGATACAAAAATAATTTAACGTTCGCCACGTGTAAAATAGATTTCGATAAAAAAGCGTAGATATCGAATATAAATTTTGAAACTCGCCTAACACGATTACCTTTGCGCGTAAATGTAAATTAAACGTAAAATTAAAACGAAAAAAAAAAAAAAAGAAAATCGATGGTTATTGATTATTAATAAATCGTAAAAGGAGCAAGGGAAAGAAAGGAGTTACGCCAATTTCAAATAACATTTTCCGATACACCCACTAGAAATTCATTAACAATTCCTTGTCGAGCTAACAAACATCATTTGGACCTTTGCCATAAAACATTCTTCTCGAATCGTCTGAACCCTATCTTTTCGCTGATTTAGCATTTAACTGTGAACCCTTCACATCCCGTCCCCTATTAGTTGTTAATCCCAGCCAAGAATTGAATTAATCCATCCAGTCTTTTAATAATCCTTCGAAAACACGAAATCGCGAAGATTAAAATCTGCCCGTTTGACGGATGTTGCCAAAATATTGCTATAACACGTTTTATACCATCGCCAATAAATAGATGAATTTTTCATCAGTTTGCCAATTGAGACAGCTCCCGATAAAAACAACTTTTGACACAATTCTCATCCTTTCACCAAGAAGCAAAGAAGAACAATTTTTTACGATCAATTCTCTCTCGAATTTCCCTTCTTTATAAGTTTCGTAACCCGATACGATAGAAAAATTGGCGGAGATAAAAATTTTAATCGAATACGAATTCGTATAACAATTACCTTTCCGCATGAGCATGATATTTGAACTACGATAATATCGGACTATTATTCACGATGCGATAAAATTGGAGAAGAAGAATGGATTAATAGGACAGAAACATGATCGGATATTACAGTTTGCCAGCTCGTCCGATTTCGCTGAAATTGATGGGTTATCGGTGTGTTTAGGGTGGCAGCGAAATCCCCATAGCAACGTTTGAATACATTTCCACGTGATTCCATGCACACACTGTCCGTGTCACGAGTTTAGGGTTAAATCTGTGCCTGTATCTGTGCCAACTATTGCACTATCTTCTGGCACATTGTTGTCCCTACACGCGTGCATCGCTCTCTGTTTCCTTCACCCTCCATACACTCCCCGTCTCTTTCTCTCCGTTGACCCCTTTAATCCTACCACCGCCTTGTCTCTCCCTAACTCTCACCCTCCAGTAATGGTCGACTCTTCCTGGTTCTCCCTCTTCCAGATACACATCTCGGATGTGTGCAGTCAAGGGGAATGCTTGTAGGTATGGTGTCTCGCCTCATCTTTTAAATGCAAAATGTTGATCAAATTTCAAAGAGATATGTATAAATGTTCTTTAATTATTATGTACTTACCACTTACTCTCTGATATTTTTCTTCTAGTTTTCCTTCGGTACATAACCTTATTTCACTTCGAATAAACATGAAGGTGTAATAAAGAGTTAGCGGGAGGAAAGTCATGAACACCCACGGCTGTTTCTCACCAGAAGATATTTTAATATTTCAAGATACTATAAACTCCTCCCTCTAAGATGTAATTTCCTTGGTATACTCCTTCTTTGGAGGGTAAAAGTTTACCTCAAACAGTAAGTTCGCAGTACGTTTGTTAAATTGAATTTTGCAAGTGCATACCTCGCCTACGAGATTAATTTAAAATATAATACGTACCTGAACAATCCACACGTTTCCACCAGATTTATCGAAACAGCCACTGACCTATTAATAATACGTAACTTAATCCTTTTGTCCAGAAATCACGTCCTGCCGCATTTGTTTCCATTAAACATTTAAATGGATCATAGGCGAAATTTATAACATTCGTACGTGTGGAAGCTCGAAACGGTTATCTGAAATTTTCGATAATGAAATTTTAATTTAAATCCGCTCGAAACATAAATTGACAGATACAAAAGTAACGAATAATACGAAAATTGAAAAAAATCGATCGTAATCATTTCATCATCGACTCGCACAACCATAATCCCCGAAATCTTTGATCGTTGCTCGCCCTCGTTATCCAAAATTTACACTCGGCTAATTGCGTTTCGCGTAAGTGCTCGGTCGGGAAGACGATTGAAAAGTAAGAGATTACCAATTTGGCGAAACTTCGTTTGGGCGGGACAAGTTTAAAACTACATTTAAATATTTAAATAGAATCGAGTTGCGAGTTGAACTCCTGCCATCAGTTTCACTACCAGGTTTAACGTGATTACAAAGTTGCCACGGTTTATTCGGTCTCCAACGGAACAACGAACCACCACCGAATATAATACGCCGAATAATCGCAAGCGCGATTCCTCGTGTCTTGTAACAAACGATTATAACACCGGCCCGAAGGAATGGTGGTAAAAACTGGGGGAGGGGAAGGGGGTAGAATTTAATTAAAACGATATCTCCGTGTTAACGAAATCAATAGGGGGTGAAGAGCAATAAGGGGCGCGAGCAAGTGGGAGTCCGAAAAGTCAATAGAACCCTGGAGGGAACCCTGTGGAGGAAATCACGGCAATAAATACATGGAAGAGACGAGAATGGGACAAAGGAGGGGGATGGGGGACGTTCATGTCGGAAGATTTTTCTTGTGCTACGCGTGCTACCTCTCGGTCACACAATTCTTCTTCATCGTTTCTTTTTTTTTTTCGCGTGTCCCTGCGATTAAGACGGAAGGTTTGTTTTCACAGTCGTGCTCGAAGGGTGGAAAACACGAGAGAGAGAGAGAGAGAGAGAGAGAGAGAGAGTAGTGGAGAAGAAGAAGAAGAATT